ATAATCTTAATATACTATCATTTGGTGTAGACATATGAATCATAAAATATTTTTATTTCATAAAATTAAATATTATATTTAAAGAAAAATAAGGAAATTACTTTGGATCAATCGGGTGATTGAATTAAGGTACTGCCCACTTTGATTGAATTACTTTTAGGTGATATTTAAAATAGTCAAAAAACTTGACACGACTTGGTTGGTCCGAGGTAACTAAGTTATGTATCAGTTTGACCAGACCAAATTGATTATTGAACCTAAATATAAATTTTAATATTGAAAATACTTTATTACGTGAATGTGATGTAGTCCAAACTTCAAATAATCATATTAACAATACTTTTATGACAACATGATTAATGATTCATGAATATTTATATATCATTTTATCATTATTTATGTGAACAAAATATTTATTTGATTATCATTTTTATTAATGTACGGTAAATATAAGGTTTTCAGAATTGGACCGTCTTGTGGTTGTTCGGATTTTAATACATAATATTTTTTGTAATAAATTTAAATAAAAAGTGTTACTTAAATATCTAAACAATTTATAAATTCAAATGTTTAAACTAATTGATAAACAATTTATAAATCTCTATTTTATTTAAATATGTAATTTTATTTAAAATAATTTTTCATGTAACAAAATTTGTTTAGAAAATCGTATCGATTTTACCAGTCCAACATACTGGTGTTGGCGGATTCGATAACAAATATTTTATTCAAGCGCACTAAATCGGTTATAAACCGGTTCTCGGTCCATCCGGTCGGACTGTGTCCAACCCGGTTTAATTTATAAATAATGCTTAAATCATGATTATTGTTATTTATTTATTTAATTTATAATACAATCAAAATATTATTTTCCCGTGCATCGCACGGGCCACGTACTAGTTTTTTGACATACAAAATAGACATTTAGGGTAAGGCTACAATCTCGTTACGGAACCATTCTGTTGGGATTTATAACCGTTAGATCATCAAGTAACCGTCAATAGTTGATCTAACGGTTACAAATCTCAACAGAATGGTTCCGTAACGGGATTGTAGCATTTTCCTAGACATTTATATTAAACATTAAAATAGAAAAAAATCAAATGGAGATCCCTACATGGAGACAATGTTCTTCCACCGCAAGGTAACTACTCGGCGGATTTCCAGAGACAGCGACTCTGGAAAAAAAAAAAGAGCAAATATACAGAGAACCAACTTGTCATGGAGAAGGAGAAGACCACTCCCAAGCAATCCAAACGGGTATTTTCTTTTCTCTTGACTTTCGTAGAGATAAGCCCTCTATTTTGTTTTGATTTTTATCTTACTGCAATTTATTTCATTACATTATAGTTTGCCGAAATCATTCATATTGCCTGGATGAATGATGTTCTGATGCTGTTGATGACTAATTTGTTTGATTTGTATGCACCGTTGAATTGTGAATGTTGGTGTTAGTACTATGATATTTTTTATTTTTTCTGATTTTTCTCTGCTTCAATGTCTTGATATCTAGTGTAAATGGAAAATTTATTTCCCATCCCTTAGCCCATTACTGGCATTATGGTGAATTCATTGCATTTTCCAATTTTTGCAATTATTTTCACGATATCTTAGCCCAACCCTCAACCTGTTCGATAAAATGCCACTGAGAGATCAAATGATGATAATCCCACATTTTTCCCATCTTCTCGTGTCGTGTTAGACATTTGGGGTTACTACCTGCAGCGGAATGGAATTGTTCAGCGTGCAATGCGGGGAATGCTTCAAATGGAGGCTTATCCAAACCCAAGAAGAGTATGAAGAAATAAGGAGCAAGCTCGAGGAGGACCCGTTCGTTTGCACCAAAAAACCGGGAGTTTCTTGCGATGACCTGGCAGACATCAAGTACGATAACACCCATTTGTGGGTTATCGACAAGCCGAACCTCCCAAAGACCCCAGCAGGTTTCAAGAGGATTACAGTCGTGCGCAAGGACCACTCTAAAGTGGATTGCTATTACATCACGCCTAACGGGAAAAGGATGAGGGCCTTGACCGAAATTGCAAGGTTCTTGGAAGAGAATCCCAAGTACAAAGAGAGTGTATCGATCGATGATTTTAGCTTCAATGGCCCCAAGGTTGTGAAGGGTACTATACCCGGGCTTTGAAGCTAAGAAGAAGTGATTTATTTTATTTATTTTTTATTATTATTTTTTTTTTCTTAAGAGTATTATGTTTTGATGAGTTCGGCGTAGTTGGGTCTTTTTAAATGAGAATGAGAGTAGTGAACCAGTAGTTAGCAGCTAGAGACTTTCCACGATTCGTGAAAAATTTGGACCTTCCATTTCATGTGATGGTTTTGTTCTTATTTAGCTATATTCGATTGGCGAAAATTCCCTTTTTGTTTTGTTGGTTTAAGGAAAAGTAACTCGGAAAACGTAATTGCTTGGGGGTATCACTGTGAGGTCATTATACATGATACTGTTTCGTACAAGCTCGCTTCTTTTACGGACATGTTATGTGCAGACTTATTCTCTCCGAGCCTGATGGATTTGTTTGACGATGAGATATGATTTTGTAGTTGTTAGTTTGCACCTTTTAGTGTATAGTAAAACATGTGGCAGTTGCTTTACACTAGAGTTGGAAGTCATTTCTCTGTAAATCTATTATTATTATACAAAATGGTCTTCACTCGTCAGTTGTTTGCCTTTTAAAGTACTATTTGATTTGCAAATGCTAGTCAGGTTTTGTGTACTCGAACCTCCCTCGAAGGCATGAATCTCAATTTCTGACATTTGCTCGTGGAGTTCGCGCACCAAATTCATAGGCATTCACGAGATGAAAATTTGTGGTTTTAAAAGGGAGTGGCACTCTTTATCTTTGCCTCGAATTCGCATAAAAATTATCCAGACAGTCCCCAAGAGTTTCCTATTTTTTTGGATAGCACGTTTCGCATCCCTGTCAATGATGCTTGCTCGTCAGGTAATTTCGTTCCTTTCTTGCTCTGTTGTTTCAGTTGGGACGAATAAGTAACATGTATGCAATGTTAAACCAGCATAGGTGCTTCTGTCTGGTAAATAATTCTAAAGGATTATAATAGATATGATTCTTAAGAGCATTCGGAGTAGAATAAAGAGTAAACAGAAGGCCGAAAACAAATTGCGATTCGTGTGATGTTGAAATCATATATTACGAATGGTTTTTCTCATATGATGTTGAAATCACATAAAAAAGAAAAATCCCATATCCCTTTACAAGAAAACAAAATTAACAAACAAACAAACTTTCAATTCTTAGGAGAGTTTATATCATAACATGAAAATGAATCAAGACTTGTCTGGATCCTGAGTGTAGTTTCTTCTCATGGCCCTTTTCCTGCTACTGATAAACGCCTCACACTTCTCGTTTATATTCGAGGCCACACTCAGAAGCGGGCCCCAGTGCCTCGGGGGCCTCGATTTCTCCTCCTTGTGCTCCCGATTGTCGACTATATCCCCATCCTTTTTCTCGTTAATGGTCACGCTCTTTTTTGGGCGCTTGACAGCCTTATCCGAGTTTCGGACCAGAATTTGTTGGTTTTGCTCGTTTTTCTCCGGACCCTTTTGGGTGACGTTTGGGGAATGATCGTCCGCATGCCTGAATTCGACAGTGATATCGGGATCACGAGATGGCTGCGGGCTGCCGAATATTTTGCAAGATATGAAGTTGATGAGGGCTTTGCATATGGTAAGAGGGGAGTAATTGCTTACCATTTTCAAGAGGAAAAAGAAAGTGTTTTTTTTTTTTTTTTCCCAGTTATTTTTGTAAAGATTTGAGATCAATAGGCGGACTTTGAGATTTTCCTTGTCTGTTTATTACATAAAAAAGGTCTTACTCAAGATGATTCTATCCTTAGGTTGTGGGCTAGCAAAAAAGAGAGTGAGATTGATTTACCTTCTTCTCCTTTTTCTTTATTTTGTTATATTCCATTTACTGGCAAATTTGTTTGCTCCCTTTCTTTTTCACCACAGCTGGAGAAAAAAGCTTATAGTAGCAGCCAGCAAGAATAAATTCTTTCAAATAGGAGCAATCAATAACCTAGCATCTTGTTAGGTGTGGAATTTTTTGAAGTGTTGGAGAATTCTCGGTAATGTTATTTGTAACAGTTAAAGAATTTTAATAAATATGCATAATTCCGTACATAATACATATACTTAGAAAAACAACATAAACCAATGTATGATATTTGTAAGAAATACTAGTTTTGTACCCATTTTAAGATTCAATTTTTCCAATTTTGGTTTCTTTTAGTCCAAGTCATTTTGGTGAGAGCCAGCTGCCTAACAAATTTTTCTTCTGAAAATCAAAGGAGAAATGGTTATTCACTATTTGTAAACCCAGAAAAGCTCAACACATTATTCAACTCACTCTTACACAACCAATTATGCAAGCTCGTTAGATCATTCAGTCCACTCAATACTCATACTTACTCATACAACAAAATATGCCTTCAACCACTGTTTTACAAAAAAGCTTAAATTAAAGAAAAGATAAAGGTAAGTGATTCTTGTCTGCTTGCTTTCCCTTTTCCATTGGGTTACACATACTATTAATTTTCTGCAATCTATATTTATATATATGTACTCACAAAATAAATCAAATCCAACATTTCAGATAATTTTTCATGCCTTAAATCACAAATCTTCCCCATG